GTATTGATTGAATATAATTTTCAGATCACCATTGATTATTTTGACATTGTTATCGACAAGCTTAGCAAAAATGGATGACCATTCAACGATAAGTACATGTTTGGACCTTCCTGTGAATTTAAGTCAAGTAGAAAACTTGTGGTGTCCGAATGATTATGAACGTAGTGTTCTAAAAGAATATATTGATTTTATATTTAATGATCAAACTAGCGTCATACCAACAACATTACCATTGCCGATGATGACTGACAAGAAATGTCTTGACAGAATCAATCCTCTTCTAATTATTGTTCTCATTGGGATCTTATTATTAGTTGCCATGAACCTTGTCATGGTCTCTATAATAACACATGCAATCTATCGTACTAAAACTGGTCAACGACAAAATCATTCACCACAATATGATAAAATCATTTTGAAAGACAATGATATTCAACGAGATAGACATGGACGATTTCATGTTAAAAGAAATCAAAACAAGAAAAATCCAGGTCGATCTACTCGTACTTAGCGAATTATCAAACTAGAACCATATGATACGAAACAAAAGTAAATCAATGATGACTATTCCTACGGATATGTTATCTATTTCCTTTATGTTTGATTTAGATTCGAATAACAATATTCGTCATCCATTATTTTACATACTATCGATCACACACAAGAAGAAAAAAAACCTTGTATTTAAGCAAGAAAGAAAAAACAACTATGACAACATCTTTTTGGCTACGACCGTTTTAGTATCTATCACATGTGCTTCATTGTATATCGTTTTATTAGTTGAATCGAACGTTAACCTTGTGCGACAATTAAAATTTCTTCTTTCCTTTTTTTTTTTTTATTATTATTCTAGATAAATTAAGTCATACTATTATTCTAATTGAATACTCATCAATACGTGAACCATTTCTTCAATGATCTACTGAACAAAAAAGAAAGCAAATGTGATCGAGAATAATTTCATTAATCATAAGAATCAAGTCATATTCTATAGAAAACAAAAACAACCTACTGATTTACTTCAATATCATCTTGATTGGAATGAAGAACCCACATTGATTCAACTGATTTCATTATTGAATCATTTTTATAAAACATTGTATCAATACAATTTGCATGAATGTTTGATGCATCTTGTCGAACAAGTACAAACAACCTTAGACGATTTACTCCGTACCCATTCTATTATGAATCAATCGTAGCAATATACACAAATACAACCAATCAGAACTCGAACTCGTTATGATCTATAAGAATAATCTAACAATACATATGTCACCTTATTTAAGTCATTTATTCACGTATGTTTTTAATGAACCAGCATATTGGAGAACATAATCAAACGGTACTAATCTTGTTCAAGCATTTCAATCATAGTTCAAGAGAAAAAATTATCTTCATTCAATGACTGTGTTTTATACTCATCCAACATTGATCATTATACGAATTATAACGTCCTTCTTTAGTTCTACTCATCAATGAAATCCATTAATATACTAGTAGATATTCGTGAGAACAATGTGTTTCATTCTAAGTAGTGACATCTGAAAAAACAATTCTATCCAATGGCAAAGAAAAACAAAAGCATAAAGAACATCAATACTGAACAATCATTGGACAGTGAACTGATTCATTGTCAATGTCCTTTCTTTCTTTCTCTCTTTCTCTCTTTTCTGCATTGTACAGCATCGACTTTTATTGTATTGACTCTTCTACGTGCAACTAGATGTTATACGAATGTCTCTGATTTTAAGAATGAACTTCAACATATTCAATTATCATTTCAATATAATCGATTTTCAAATAATTTTATCACCGATGAAATTCAATCATTTCTACATGAATTTGGTGCACGTACATTGAAGAAACATTATGGTGAACAAGATGATGATCAATTTCTTTATGGTTCTTTGCGACAAAATGTCGAGATATATAATCAACGACAGAAAGAAGCAAAACTCAAACGATGTCAACAACTTTTTAATCAACGTTGCCGACGTTCATAAAAATCAGGATAAGCCATCTGTAGAATAATTCCATGTCGATCTTCTCAATGGAATCTTTACATTCGAAACAAATTCTGTGAACTATTTCAAATTGATAAGGATAATAACAACACAAAAATAATGAAAACCATTGGCATTACATATATTAAAACAAAAAACACCCGCTTATGATCTTTCGACTGAACATTTTTTCTTCTTTATGTATTTAACCGTAGTTTTACTTGTCGATGAAAGAAAAAAAAACACATAGAGTTATTTTATTATCTTAATTAATATTCACTTTCTATACCTTAGTAGTTCAATCTATTCATTACAATTTTCCTTTTCAGATAATGCTCTGGATTCCAATGGCACTACACACACACACATACACGCACAAACTACGTAGCTATCACATGAACGCCATGTTGCTATATAAAACTAGTGAAGGTTAACACACAACAGCGGCTATAAACGGCATTTCTCATTGATTGCTTCGTTTTCTTTACGAACAGTCCTTTGAGAACCAATTGGTCATAGGTTCGATGAGACACGATTCGAAATGTGGACAATATGGCCAACTAATGCAATGCGTTTCATACTTAAACTTAAAGTTCTATTTCTCGTTCGTTATCCTTTCATTGACCGATTTATCCTTGACTTTCGAAACAAACACAAACAATACAAAAAATGCAATAGAAAGGTAAGCTCGTGCTTGATTTACATGTTTGACATATCCGTGCACATTATCACATATAAAAGAAGCGCGAAAATTTCAAACAAATGTCAAACCTGTCTGATGCCGTCTCGTCAATCATTCTATATTTTGTTTTCATTAGCAAAAATAGAATACCACGCATATGTCATATGACGATATCTGTAATATTTTATATTCAATATTTATTCCAGTTATACATTGTTTATATTTTATCAACACACATATATATATATATATATATGTCCAAAATTTCATTGATCGATCATTCAATGCAAACATATCAATCACCATCATCTAAAATGTCGACGATATCCAGGATCGGCTACAGTTCATCGCACGAACAAAAAAAAACTCCACGACTATTCATCGTCACGAGTATCGATTCGACTATAGTCGAATTGTATAATTCTAGTCGTTTCGTCAAATTTTCGAACACTATTTAAAATACGACCAACATACGTTCTTTCATCAATTATTATACTATTATTACGTGCGTTTTCTAATCTTCATCCTCGATTCGATATTCCAATTCATTCATTCCACAACACCGAATTTATCTATTGTATCTTACGGCGATGTCTCATTCATTTTTACCGGCGTCTACTGTCATGATTCATAGGCAAGTACTTGCCGTTTCTTCCATTCGTCGTTCAATCGTATTTTTTACTATTATGCCTCGTCTCATTCGCTCCAAACCATAGTTCGTCTTTATTAAAAAGCGATAATGGATTATTATCATTATTATTATTATTATTATCGACACTAGCATATTTCTACTATAGCCGTTTGTCGTCGTCGCATATAACTGAATCGAAAGCTCAATAGCAGTAGCTATCATTTCGAATCTATTTTTTCCACTACGTATGCAGGTCGCAAAATTATAGTCCACATTCACTTCATTCTCTGACGAAGCACGAATCGATGCATGAGGAAAGATATCTCCGAAAATCTCGTTCAGTATCAACGATACCAATTGCAATTCGTTCTACTACAAGCTGATTATCTTCTATTGGCCAATAAAATTAATCTTTCGAATGGATTCGAACGAGGGCAAAGTAAAGTTGTTTATTTTTTTAGGTCATTTTTTCTTATTTTCGTTGAAAATGATATACATATATTTCTTCTTGGTATTCACTTCTTCTTGTTTTCAGATCACTACGTATATTTTGCCCATTGTCATATATACTCTCAATGAAAACGAATAACAATTTAACAACAATGACATGTTTCGAAATTCCTACGAGTTCTATTGGAGTGGACTATTGGTGGTGTCCGAATGATTATGAGCACAGTGTTCTAAAAGAATATATTGATTCGATATATCGTGGTGATCCTAGTGGCAAGTCAACAACACCCTTACCGATGATAACTGACAAGAAGTGTTCTAACATGACTGATTCTATTTTAATGATTGTTCTTGTTGGACTATTATTATTAATGGTAATCAACCTTCAGATTATCTATTGCATAAACTATTTCGCGTCTCGTATCGCAACTGAACAACGACAAAGTCCGTCTTTACAATATGAAGAAATTATTTTTAACGAGAATGATACTCAACCGGAAAAGGAAGAACGATTTAGGGTTGCAATGAATTTAAATGAGAAAAATCAAACTCGAACTACCCGTGTCTAGATAATCATCGAAACAGAAAAGAAAAAACGACGGTACAAGAAAATGAACATCGATTCTAGTTTAACTTATTTTATTCTTACTTGAACGCTCATTTGATACACTGGTATTTGTTTATCATCTATATCTGTGCACGATTATTATTTACCGTACCATACGCATGAATTACCGTAGATATAAATTATTCTCATTCGTTGTATACAAAACAATCAAATTTCTCTAAAGTATCCAATTTTTGTTATACTTTCATATGGACATATCTCATTGTCCAGAGTACTTATCAATGGTTTTTATGTTAATTGGTTTACATTTGTTCTTGTGGGATAGCTACAAACATAGCAACTATATGTATATCTATTTAGCGACGTACACATAATGAGAAGGGTTATATAAAACTCTATCATGTATACTAATATGAATAATAATTAATTTTTAATGAAGTATTAAAAAGTTCAAAGAATATCTACTATATGGAAGAAAAATTTCATTTACTTTTGAACAAGTTTGATTTCTTTGATTGTCATACAAATCCATTATAAGGAACTCGAAAAGTCACTTGATGAGGTTTTTTAGTGTAGTCAAAACATATCGTCGTGGTCGTCGCCGCTTTTACGTGCCTTAACTCTAGGTTTTGTTTTTCATTTCAATGAATGGAAATTTATTACAGTACAATCCAATGGCGAAGCGTTTCTAGTATTGTTATTTTTATTGAGTGAACGAAACAAAAAGCACCGTTGCTATCAACTATCTCATTCTGCAAAGATAAGCAGTTACATACTAATGCCCCTAGTCGAATTTTTCTTCGAGAGAAATATCTCCTTAACTTTGGTCATAGATTATCATATCATATTCACTTCATATTAATCCTGATTGTAGATTATTCATTTTATTCAACACTAGTGATGTCATCATTCAACGGTCGTCCACGACATCAATTAACAGATTCGTATCGTCAGCCAAATATATTTATTAGTGAAAGATCCGTCGGTTCCAACACAGGATCATCATCGATTTTCTTACAACAACAACCAATGAATCAAGTTGCTTCATCTAATTCATCCTTGATCGAATCCTGTCAACATTCAAATATGAAAAAAGAAGAAGAAGATCTAATGGAAACTATCGAACGATTAATTCATATATTTCTATCTCGACCTGGTCGACGTCAGCCACATAAGAGTTTCTTTCGTTGGACCGTCAATTGTGGTGCTATACCCTCTTATCACATCATGCTTACCATTGATCAAGATTCTCCGTCATTGTCATAAATTTTACTTGATATGAACGACTATCATCAACATCAAACACGCTTTATTGGTTTTCCTTCTTTTCTCTTTCGTTTGAATCAACGACATCGAATATGCTCTGATCGACTTTAGCAGATTTTGATGTGCGTTCGAATTGAACAAAAACTTTTGAGTTTTCTTCTCTTCCCATTTTTTCTCCATTCATATCTAATTAACAGGAATTAATGCTGTTTCCATTTTTCTTCTTCTTCTTCTTCTTCTTCTTCTTCTAGATAACAATTCATGATCGAGTCCGAATAGGATCAATGTACAACAATGTTCGATGAATGTAAATTCCGGAAGATGCTTATGGGTGAGACAATGCTATCGTTTGTTAATTTGATCGTCTATTACAAGTGAACAAAGTGATCGCATCATCCATTCTGTGGGTATGATGTTCTGAAAATGATTGATGACATGAATGAACTAGCTATTATTACCAGAATGATTGAAACACGTAAGTGTGAGGAAGAGAAATAATACCGAAATAGTTCAAGAATTTCATTGCTTGAACAACTTTAAATGAACACAAACTAATGACAATATCTCTTCCGATATCAACAAGATGCATGGAGATTCGTGAAAATAATGCCCACTATAGGATACATTGATGTTGCATATCTTTTTGGGTAAAACTACAGTTGGAAAACTCATGTAAGAATCTAATAGCTTGGGATTCGAAAGCAATTTCTCTTTTCCGATACACATCTACACGTAAGATTGACGTTTTTTTTCCTGAAAATAAAACCTACTAAAAATAAACTCATTTGTCTTATTAATTTTTGTATCAAAAACAACTATGGTTACTAGTTGTAAGAATTGTTGAAGAACTTTTTGTTCTATTCTATGAGCGTATTATATCAGTGCATTGGATTCCTTGAGAGGATGGATTGTAGCCTTTTATTTATGCAATACTCTTCAAAGTTACTTATATCATCTAATGATTGTCATTCAATGTATCTTCAGTGTACTGTGTTGAATAGTGTGTCGAAATCGATTCTTTCATGGACCGCATGAAACAAGAATTTTTCTTTTCTTCTTTAAAAAATCTACTTATCATTTAAAACTAATAATCAATACAAGAAATATCGACTATCTTCCATTGATATCAATAGATCTTGTTAACGAATTGCCAAATATACTTTGCTGATCACTTTACTCTGTATTCTATTATCAATGTCTTCCCAAAGATGTTTTTTCAACATTTACTTTCGACCCATGTTTTACCATCGAATTCATCAAATAATTCGAATTGAATTCATATCTTTTTCATATATCACAGTCTTTTCTTTTGTACTCAGATTCATTCGAACGACTCTTCAACCATCTTTTCTGTCTGTTTTTCCTCTATTCAATAATTTCAGTGAATTTTATCCACTTTTAGCCAATATACCTTGTAAGCATTGATTCATAGAATGCTTTCTATTTTCTATTTTATTTTGATTCATAGTAGATTCTTCTGTAATAACACCGATTTCGAGTTAGATTTTTCTAGAGAAAACTTTATTGATTTGCCAAATAAACATAATTTATATAAAATAGAAAAATTACGAGGAAATGTCATCGTTTAATATTCTAGATTATACTATAAGACGAAAATAAATTACCTATTTATTCATTCGACGATGGCTGCATGTATGAATGAGTTCACAACAGTAAACATCGATCTTACTTCAGATAACGAGAAGAAGGAGAAGGTGAGTGACCATATCATTTTTCTTCTTTTTTAAATTTAAATGTTGTATTGCAGTTCTTGAACATGGAATGGTGTAATGATGTATTTGATATTCTTAATGAAGATGATGAAGATCTTGAAAGTATCATGGAAGAATATAATCAAGATTTTGATTTTGATTATTTAAATACGACTATAGATGAAGAAGAAATGTCCATCGAAGAGGAAGGCGACGAAGAGAACAATATCATTAAAAATGAACAGAAGCATGAAGTGAGACATTATCGATATCTCTAGGAGGAATCCATTCTATCTATGATTCTTTGATGGAATTTAGACTATTGGTGAGGAATTTCTACCGCAAAACTTAAGTCAATTATCAACACAAGCTGAAAAGAATAACCGAAAAGAACAAGAAGACTATGTTAATAGTAATAATACACGATCAACATCAGAAGTTGTTTCGAAAAAAATTCGTACATGGTATGATTATGAAAACGAACCAGGTCATCCAATACACGACTATTGCCAAACATTAAACAATATATTCGACAAAATAATAATCGATCATGTAAAAGAAAATATCACGCATATGTCAATTGAAGATGTACGACAATTGGCTATTTTAAAGCATAAGATTGTTATGACTGAACTAAATATAAAACTTTGGACACTCTATCTAAAGTCAGGTACGGGTCAATGGGAAACATTGGAAAGTGTCAACACCAATGTGGATCAACGTGTATGGCCAATGGCTATTCGAAAAATGTTCGCATCGCCATCGACAACCATCGATACGAATCAGAATAATGATCAACAAAAATTATATGAAACGATCGTTTCTCAACATCTAGAACAATTAAATCAACAAATAGAAATCTATCTTATGGAATATCATGACAAGAAAAGTAGTTTCATCGGTCTGACAGATTGCATGGAAAAGGATATTGAAACATTTGTTCAACAACATAGTCTAGTACCATTTAAATTAAAATTAAACTATAAAATGACTATCTTAGAATATGATTACAATGATGAACTACTTGAACGTGAATATTTACGACAAAATCCTACTGATTATCAAGTAAGATAAAGTGTGTGTTGTTGTTTTTTTTGGTTTGTAGATATGAAAAAAATTTGTTCTTCTTTCTAGAAAAATGTTGCTCAACATCTTTATGATATAGCATATACATATGTACAAGCAAAATGCGAATTGATCGAATTAAAACAACGAATTCTTTGTAATAAACCACCAGAATTCATTTATACTAAAGCCTTATCTATGATATCAACATCGATGTTGTACTCGACTACAGATGCTAGTGTGTGTCAACGACACATAGATCAAGAAGAAAAAATCTTACAAGAAACAATAACAGATATGATGACTGAATCGATAACTGAAGCAGAAAAGAAAATTCTTCGATGTCGACAGTTACTCAATGAAGATATTCATCGAGTGTCGATCAATGATAAAGATATGAATGAGAGATTTTCAGAAGAATTAGTAGATCTTATTGAACGACGTGTTAAGATTATTAACCAAAAATCAGATTATATGTCGAATTTTAAAATCAATTATTGTTTACGAAATCATTTCGATGACTTACAAGATACATTGACGATACCGAATATTCGCTTTTCACCGACCATTATTATGGGTACTGTATTACATTTATTGACGGAAGAACAATTAAAATTATTAAATCGTGGACCAACTTATGTTCCACCATGTCAAATGTATGTATCATCATCATGTCTATCTATAAATGAGATCATTCAAAAACAATATAAATCATTACAATATGATTTAAATATTGTTTATGATAAATTGAATGTGAATTTAACTCAAAGAATGCTTATCAGTAAAAAAATTAAAGAAAAACTGACCAATGTCTTTTCTATTTCATTGCCCAACTCTCTACGTGAACGTGCTCTCTATGAAAAACAATTGGTACAATCCATTCGAGAACATTTCAAAGTAAATGATCTGATCTTACGACGAACAGCTGATCAACAAAATGTTTTCTATCTTGGTAATAGAAATGAATTTGACGAGAAAACAAATGACTATATGAAAACAACGGATGCGTTTCAACTATGTGAAAGTGTTGATGAACAAAATCTTCAAACCATGCATAACTATTTAGCAAACAAGATCAAATCATTGAACGAAGACTTTCAAGTGATCTTCTCTCATAACGATTATAAAGATATACGTGACAAACTTTATATCAGTCTGGATAACGTGAAACTACCTTATTTATACTTTTTGCCTGATATATCTCAAGTAAACTAGTTTTCTTATCACTCATTTTTTCGTATGATTTTGTAATTTGGATTCTCTTAGAATAAGGGTCTACGTGTACAACCAGTCGTCGTTGCACAACATAGCATCACAGCTGAGTTAGCTCACTTTTTAGATCAACTATTACGACCTATCGTTCAACGTCAACTTGAATCGACAACATTCGTGAATGGAGCTGATTTTATTCAAAAACTCAATGATTATATTGAAAAATCAGAACATCGTCTACATTCCACAACAAAATTTGCCACTATCAAAATTACAAATTATTATGATATGATTGATCATGATGCAATGCTGATTGCACTTCGAGATTTTTTTCGGTACACCGTCGTGGTACCAGCAATTGGAAATATATCGATTGGTAAAATTTATCGTTTAATTGCTTTATTTCTGCGTAATAATCAATTTTATTATGATCATAAAATTTATTGTTTTGCTAAAGGTAGCCCAATGAGTTTTCCATTGACAGAAACTTTATGTAATATTTATATATTACAATGGCAAAATTTACTCTTTAGACAAAGTTCATTAGAAAATGAATTTTATGGCAGGTCAGTTTCTTTTTTTTTTTTGGTCGGAAAATTAGAAATGCTAAGTGTTGCTGTTACATTTCAGGTGTAAAAATCAACTTCTTTTCACATGGAATGACACACATGAGAAATGTCTTAATATGATTAAAATGATGAGCCGCGAAACGTTCGATCTATGTGTAGACATAGAAACAAGTTCCTGTGCTCGATTCTTAAATGTCTATATTGAAAATCAAAGTGGTGTCTTATATAGTCGTGTATCTCACGATCAAACTCGACAACAATATAGTGTACCCTATGTCGTTGGTAATTCAAAAGTAGCACATAGTCATTGGCTTCGTTCAGCTTTAATTCGTGCTGTTCGTTATTGTACATCGGTCTATGATTTTAATCACGAACGTATCTATCTCGAAGTAACTTGTTTAGCGAATGGTTATCCATTAGAATTTATTGAAAAACGAATCGATCGTTTTTTTAAACAGTTTGATGCTGTATCACTTCGTTCAGTTTTGGATCAAGATGTTTACAAAAAGCTTCGTCAACGATCATTTAATTTCATCAGTGAACAACGACAAGTGTTGAAAACAAATCAAGAATTAGCAAAGAAGAAGCAACGTTTTCGTTTATCCTACTTATATGAATTTGGTTCAAAACATAAATTTAATAAAGAATTACAAGGCATTTTATCTCAGTATTTAAATCCAAAGGATCAATATTCAAATCATAAGAAAATAAAATTTATTCTTACGACAAAATCGCAACATTCATTAAATGCTTTATTAAGTGAACAAAAACCAACACATGACTTATTGAATAAAAATACAACAATGTTTTGATATGCATTTTTTTTCGATTTATTGTCCTTTGCATATAGATATCGTTTGTTTTTGTCTTCTTTGAATTGGACATCATTTACTTTAGCTTAAATCTCTTTTTATTGACTTTTTCAACGATGGATGAATGTTTTTAGTTCTTTATCTGTTTTTTGTTCATTTTGAGTTCGAATTGAGCTACATCAATCATTATGATTGTCAACCACAAAATCGTCTATCTTAATAATTATTGTTCACTCATATGGATCGAATAGAAATGACTTTTCTTTGTTCCTTGCCGTTTTAGATATGGAAATCATCGATGGCAGGCATACGTCTTTCTATATCATAGTACAAATGAATTCTCCAAATCATGATCATCAGGACGACGCAAATCAACAATTATGGATACCTTATATTGATCAACAACATCCCGATCTGCCTATAATACATGTTCGACCATTTCAACATAATTCGCAACCATTGTATTGTATACAACTGAATGATTTAGAAAAATTACATAATTATTTAAAACGAAAAAGATATCGTCTATTAAAGACATTTCATACTAATATCCGATATGCTTGTCATCGAGATGATTTTGATACAAAATCTTATGAATATATGTTACGAACGAAAGCTTATAGTGAACTTGTTAGTTTAGATCAACCGAATTGTCAAGGAAAAGTTCGACATTTTTTAAATATGATGACAAATAACATGAAATTATTACTAGCAAGACTCTATGATCAACGATGGATCACTGCGTTTCAATATCAACAAATGGATATACAACGTTCCATCGTTCGATTAGATCATATTTTTTTTCTTCCTGATACCCATCAACAAGAACAACTTCTCTTCGAACCTAAGACGATTTCTACTTTAAGTCCATTGATGCCGATGAATCGTTATTTATATCGTCTGTTAGCTCCAATCTATTATAATCAAGTTGCTCATCTTATGACTATTGATAAAGGTTCTGATCTCATTCCACGTTTAGAACTCTATCAACAACAAGGTCATTTACAATCGACAACTTATTTAATTACTCTTCATCTAAAAGATATATATACATCGATTCGACATACACAATTACTTCAAAGTCTACGAAGTTTTCTTGATGATTTTTTAAATGAAGAAACAATTGAAGGCATGACTATTTCTGCAATTCTTGAATTAACTAAATTTCTTCTTAATCATCAATATTTCATTTATCAACGTCGTATCTATCAACAAACTATTGGAGGTGGTACTGGTTTATATTTCATTGATCTTCTAATTGATATTTATTTATTTTATTGGCAACAACCATTAGTATTAAATCAAAATCAACATGAAATATATGTACGTCATTTTAATAATCTCTTTTTGACATGGAATGAATCAAAAGAAAAATTTCATCACTGTTTAACTACAATGAATTATAAACATTCATTTCTACAATATGATGTGAATATTCAAACGAATGAAATTCATTATCTTGATGTAGATATTCATCAATGTCTACAAACATTTCATACTCATGTTTATCATGATTGGCAATATGAACCTTATATTTTACCTAATCTACATCAGGATCCATCATTTTTAACACCAGTACATACTCTTCGAATGGCTCTTATTCGTGCTGTTCTATGTTGTTCACAATTACAAGATTTTGAAGACGAACAACAATATATTGAATATTCATTTTTATTCCATCGATTTTCCTTCGATTTTATTCGTAAAGAGATTAAAGGATTTTTTCTTGATTTTAATATCTTCGACCTAAGCATCTATCATAATCAAGTTACGTACGATGAAATTCGTCGACACGTTCGTCAATGGGATCGACAGAAACGAGAAGAAAAACGAAAGCATCTCGATGAAGGACAAAAGCAATGTATTTGGTATATTTATTCAAAATTAAAAGGAGTTGCCTTATATGATGCTCAACAAAATCCAATTCAATTCTTACCACCATCATCTCAGAATGACCCCAGTAGTTTAGATGGAATTAAAATTGAAGTTATTGGTTTACCTAAGTATCCATCCGATACGATATGATCACGTTTAGTACTGAAGAGATGTGTATAAAAATAAAATTGGTTTTCTATGTTTCTTTCTTCTTCTTGAATCGATCAATCATATGTTTCGTTTCTTTTTCTTTTTTTCTTTTTGTTCTAGACTCGTTTTTGTGTGTTTGTGTGCTTGTTTGCCATCGTGAACCAGCATACGTTTACCTAAGATCTATTGGCAGTAGAAGAATTCCATTGACAATATCGTGAACGACGACAACAACAAAGAATAGTTTCAAATCAAGAATCTTCTACTTGAAATACAACCATCATCAAGTATGTTCTCTTTTGATCATGATCAATATCATTCCACGTACTCATGGCTGGAGAATTTTGTGCTGATGATACTGATGAAAATGAGTGTCATAGTGAAGATAAAATCAAACCGAATGATACAGAAAACAGGAAAAGACGAAGAAGATGAAGAAGAACAAGAAAAACAAAACATAGAACTAATTGATTGAAAATGATAGGAACCATATCCAACAAGTCGAACAAATGAACAAAAATAGAACTATTTAGATTGTTTGATTGCTTTTCCTTTTTTTTGCTTTCTATTCATCGATCTATTGTTGTTCTATTGCATCTATTCTAGATATCTATAGTTCAGATTGATCTCAATATTGTTTAACAACGATGGAAGAAATGATCGACAATACTGTACATGAACCAAAAGAAGATGAAGACACTTATATCCATGATTTTGATGATGGTAATGTAGATTTATCATATCATCACAAAGTACCATTGATTCTACAAAACAAAGATTTCGATGATCTGACTGATTTAATTCGTCATATGGATTTGAAACCAATGATGAATGAACAAATACGTCAAATAGCTTGTCAAGATAAAGGAATCCTTTTATCGATTCGTCATCAATTGAAGAGAAACAAGATTGTTTTACGTACTTCTTATAGAGGTCATGTTTTTCGAGCATTGAAAAGAAGAAATTTTAAACGAAAAGCATCTAATTATATAAAAGAAAAAGGAATTTACTTGGTTATTCAACAATTAACAGGACCCAATCCAGAACATATAACACACCGATATTTGATGAATATTGTTCATCGTGTAGAAACAACATTGTATGAATTACTTGAAACTAAATGTCTCAATCAATTTCAATATACATGCATGAGCCAAAATCGAGCACAAGTAAAATTAAATTATTTGTATTTTGTACCTGAACTCAATAAAGTCAGTATATTTTTGTTGTTGAATTGAAATTCTCTTACCTTATTTTAATTTTTGAATATCAATAGGAAGATTGGTCAGTTCGACCGATTATCATTTGTAATAATGGACCTACAATGCTAATAGCTGATTATGTTTCTGACTTACTTTGGTCCATATTTGATCGAGTTACTCATTGTCAAAATTTTTTACAAGGGGCTGATGCTGTGCAAGCTCTTGAAATTTATGCTCACCATCATCATCGTCTTCAACCAACAACATTATTTGTCACGTTTACAATGGACGATCTATGTAACATATTTCAACATGAGGAAATACTTGAAATCTTAGAAGATTTTCTTCATACTTATGGATTATCCGATGAAAATTTTCAAGAGCACCATATAAGTATTGAAACAATTCTTCGACTTGTTCGTCTCGTTTTATACAATCAATATTTTGTCTATAACAATAAACTTTATCGGCAAATGGTTGGCGGTGTTTCTGGTTTACCATTGACTATGGCTTTAGCTTACATTTATTTATATCATTGTAGACCATTATTATGGACTATGTTAATGAATAATACACAAGAGATATTTGGAAGGTAGGCTAATGGCTTGACTTTTTTTTCTTTTTGAATTCCATGAAGTATTTTTTGTAAATATAACAATTTTAGACATGTAGATGAAGCATTTTTTACATGGAGTGGATCTGAACGTCAGTTACAAAAATTATTTGATGTAGAGATCAATCATCATTCTTCTACTCATCTTAAACCGACTATTAGTAAAATGATTCATTTTGATGATGTCTATATAAGCCATAATAACGGTCAACTACAGACAAAAGTCTATCATTATCCTTTTCTCAATCAAATTGCTTTATT